ACACACACACTATATATATATATTACTAAGTGGCAATCCCCAGTGCTAAAATAAAGCCAATGCACAGAACTGACAACAACTGCAGTTCATTGAATGGCCACTTGAGGCTCCAAAAGCGAGTCAATCCTCATAGACGAAGATCGGCGAAGATCGGAACAACCTACTTTAAACTAACAAAGGCTCTTCGGAAACCTTTGGTGACATCACAGAGACTACCTCCCTGTTTTCATAGTCTACAGATACATAACATATTAAAACAAGATTGCTGTAATACTCAAAAATGGTAACTGCAGGCATTAGTCTAGTCGTAACAACTGTAAAATACAAAACCAAAGTATGTCGGTGTGCAAATCCCTAAAGGTGCTAAAGTCAAAACTCAGAGCATTAATATAGCAGCAAACAATTATTTGCTTAGTAAAGTTATATTAGAGTAATGGCGTTCTGAGCAGGAAATTAAGTCACACTGTTTGAGCTGTAATCCAAGCTTGTGTGAGCATTAAACATTAGGCTGTTGTAGTATATTAAAGAGACTACAACATGGATATGTTCACATGATGACACTGAGCCTGTGTTCTTGTATATTATCATAAGTCTAAACTTTTAAATAATTTGGAATTAGTCATGAGCAGGCTTGCAGAGTTATTTTTGTTTTTTATGTCCATGTATTATATTGCATATTTCTTAATTGGCTACAGAGGCGATGTGTAACTTGGTTTTGCTGCCTTGTTGAGGCCACAGAGTGTCGTCTCTTCATCTGTCGTGAAGTGTGGACACAATAATGTGCTTTTGTGAAGCACAGAGTGGACTGTGTTACTTCTCGGGGCAAAGCGACACTCTTCTTTTCTTCGTCTGTCCATACTGTTCGAGGAGAGAAAACTATTCTGTGGCCAAACATTTGTCAAATGTCTTTGCTCAATTCATGCTTCACGAAACATTGCAAATATGAACGCTTTTGTCTTTCCTGTGAGCCCGGCGTCACGCTCACACCAGTCTCATTACCATAAACATGTTCATATGTTTAAAGCTCTTACCGTGTTTCTACAATGACGTGAAGTCTTTGCACGTAGTGATGACAGAATATGATCATGTTTGCTTATAATTGGTGCAGTGTGAGGATGAAGCCAGACACTCATGTCCGTCAGAAACATAAAACACTAATGCTGAATGACGCCTCAGAAAGAGTTCAAACTCTCCTTTTTAGCCACGAGGATTATTGTCATTATTTTTAATTTTAGAATAACCACAACTGGTTCCTGACTGTTTTTAATTATCATATTAAGAGATACAGTCTGTGGTTGAAAGTCATAATTGCCAGCTGGAGAGAAGCACCTGTGGAGTCCGTGCGCCATGCAACAGGTGCGTTAGAGCTGTGATGTATCTAGTTACTCAGGATGCTCACTAATGTTGAGCATGTCTTTGTTTTCTGCACTAGAATGCAAATACCTTTTAGCAGTGATATGTGTTTACCAGTGTCTGTGTGCTCGGGTGACGTCTTTATGTCTTGGTTCGAGCGCTACACTTTTGTTAACACTTAAATTAGTTGTTCATTTTTAGTTTTAAGTTAGTTGTATCAAATTAAACTATATATTCGTTACTGTCAACAGTTAAAATTGCTTCTGGATACTCAATGGATATAACATTATAACAACAGGATATTGATGTTGGAAATAAAAGCTTCACCTGAACGTATGTTCAACAAGGCAGGTTTTTCTATTTGTAGTAAAAAGCCTGTGAAATTCCTCATGGGAATGTGAACACATCGCCTCCCACGTTTTAATTAAAATAATAATACACAATACTATTAGGCTATTTTTTGTAATGAAAATTCCGTGCTAGAAAAAAGATGTGTGATCTGTAATTGAATCTGGACACAGAGTGATTAATTGTCTAATTAGATGTGATGTGTGGCAGCGGTAGAGTCGCATCAAAACATCAGTTTTCTCTGCGGTCAAAGCACGCTTTAAAAAAAAAAAAAAAAAAAAAGGACACTCCTGCAGGCTTTCTAGACTGTGCGTGCCCTGAGGTAAACTCTGGTCTAGAAAGGGAATTTTAGAGTATGTGCTGCTGCTCAGCAGTTTGAGCAGGGCCCACTGAGGCCAGCGGAGAGTGCCACCAAAAAGGAAAAGCTGGCTCAAAGCCACTGACGTCATCTAAGTAAATCTGCTTCAGTACTGCAGCCATAAAATGACTGCCAGCTACCGAATGCACTTTGGCCCCCGTCAACCACCTTAGTAAGTGCAACACAGTTTTCTTTCCTTGTGCATACTTATGGAAGACAGGCTGTGTTTAAACCTACTCTCATTTTAGCTTGAGTTGTATCAGACGGAACAGAGCACGTTTGAGCCTTTCTAGTTCTACATTGAGCACCAAATGATTGAGCTTCTTTGAAGGCTTACCACTTTAATATTACAGACTTTAAATTTGTACCATATGGCAGTCTCCTTCATTTTTGGAAGAAGGAGTTTGGACAGCGCAGTGTCTCAACCACTCATAATTGATGTGTAGTTCCTCAGAAGTTATTCATTTTGGTGGGAAAAGACAAATAAACGAGCTGCCTGGTGATCACACACAGATGAAAAGCAATATGTACTCCATGAATCATTAGATGAGTCAGTTTCTGAAACCACTATAAACGTTTTGAGTTCTGAACCACAATGAAAGCAGGAAATCTCAGCTTCAACAACTTCCTTTCTCAGTGCTGGCCATAGTAGCGGTAGTGGTGTTCAGCTTTCCACTAGTGAAAGGAAACCCGTGGAACAAAGACACACAGTCACTTCATTTAGTGAAACTGCGTATAATTTGTGGCTTGTATTCAAATGTGGGTTATTCAGTCTCTCTGGCACCGTATTCCCCAGTTGCTGCTTGTAATAAATTTCCACAAGACCTTCCATCAATGGTCGCTGCATTGTTATCATGGCTGACACAGATCAGGCAGGCTCCCTCTCTGCCCCGAAGGTGTCCTGGATTCAGCGGAGGCACAGATAGACTGGAGGGTGAGCTCCCAACATTAATATGCAGGCTGTGCCCAGTAAATTAGTTTGGAATCCGAGCCGGGACACAGCGATGGGGGAGCTGTGTTGTCCCAACTTTTTTTCTTCTCTGTTTGGTCTGTTTAATAGACCCGAATATTAGACGTTTTCAACGAGAAGTAACGTTGGTTTATAATCACACCATCAACAAAGGTTTGCTGTGCTGTCAACAAACAACACATTCATTATCTTGGTTTGCCACAGAGTGTTTGATCAAATTATAAGATAAGTTGCCGATATTCTATATTTTCATTTGTGAAAAACAAAACAAAAGGTGCGTAAGTCTGCCTCTCATAGTTTCTAACTTCCTGTTTGATGTACTCAGTCCATTTGTCCATTTGTCTGTCTTTTCAAAAATAATCAAATAGTTCCCAGTGATTATATATATATATATATATATATATATATACGTACATATATAGTATTTTGCTTTAAATCCATCCGTACTTTTGTGGGAATAAACCGTCTCGGTTGTATCT